AGCTCAGAATGCAAAGAGAGATAAGGACACACCGGCTGCAGCTGGTGGCCTGGTTGGGTCAAGTCTAGGCGCAATCGGCGGCCTGTTTAGGAATGTGGTGGGCGGCAAGACACTGACCAAGGAAGATCTCGCCAAGCCTCTCAAGGGCATGGAAGAGCATTTGTTGCGCAAGAACGTTGCGCGCGAAGCTGCAGTACGGCTGTGCGAAAGTGTGGAGCGTGATCTCGTGGGCATCAAAACACCCAGCTTTACTAGTCAGTCATTTTCACACCCTTTTTTTGCTTGGTCCCTTTACTGACGCGACCATGACAGCCATCGAGACAACGATCAAGTCGTCAATGGAGAAAGCCCTTACCAAGATACTTACCCCGACTTCTTCCCTTGACCTGCTTCGCGAGATTCAGCACACAAATTCTACCACCACCCGCCCCTACGTACTATCCATTGTTGGCGTCAACGGAGTTGGAAAGTCGACCAACCTGTCCAAGATAGCCTTTTTCCTGCTGCAAAACCATCATCGTGTGCTCATCGCAGCAGCGGATACCTTCCGTTCTGGCGCAGTGGAGCAACTACGGGTACACGTCGATCGATTGAAGGAGCTGTCCCAAAGAGAAGGTGGGCACGTCGATCTGTTTGAAAAGGGTTACGGCAAGGATGCCGCTAACATCGCTGCCGATGCCGTAACTTTTGCTACCAAGAACAACTTCAACGTGGTCCTCATTGATACGGCAGGTCGGCGCCACAATGATCAGCGACTCATGTCGTCGCTCGAGAAGTTTGGCAAGCTAGCCAACCCTGACAAAATCCTCATGGTTGGCGAAGCCCTCGTTGGCACAGATTCCGTCGCTCAGGCCCGGAACTTCAATGCCTCTTTTGGCCCAGGACGAAACCTCGATGGCTTTGTCATTTCAAAGTGCGATACCGTAGGAGATATGGTGGGCACGCTTGTGTCAATGGTGCATGCAACCGGCATTCCGGTCGTCTTCTTGGGCACGGGGCAGCATTACAGCGATCTGAGGACATTGAACGTTGGCGCTGTGACGAGACTACTTATGAGTTAGGTTAATGATTGGTCAGTTCGTGATATGGCACGGCTATGTAGTGTATAGTATTGGGCTGTATTATGTCATGATTGTACAAGCACGCTTTGTTGCTTGATTATTTTTCCATCTGAATCAATCAAACTCTGCTTTGTGATCGCACCATGTCTTTTCGAGCAAATATCAACTATATATAAACTAAATGCTTGAGGAAAAGGGTCACGGTTCATACTGTTATTGGCAAAAGTAACCGTATTCATGGCAGACATGTGAATGACGACATGGACGCGCCAAATTAGCTCCCGCATCATCACCATGTGCCTCGTATCCACATGCTTTACTAAGTGCCGCACTGCCGCCTTGGATCGACGTAACCGAATCATCTGGCCTATCCTATACCACCTCTCATTCTCGTCGCCCGACACTCCGTGCTCATCCCTCGTTTTCTGCTTCACATGTTGTATGAGGCTTGGATCACCGCAAAGCCACTAGTCAAAAGCGCCGTGGCGGATCATGCATTATGATATTGGATCCTTTATGGAAACCCTTACAAAATATGGGTCCTATGATGCAATTCCCATTGCTCAACGTCGCCGCATATGCGCCAACTACATATGACGCTGCTTGACCTCGCAAGTACGAACACTATAGCCCCTGTCCCCGCATTGCGGCCTCTTCCTCTTCCCCACAGTCGCCATGTCTGAGCAGCAAGGTAGCCATCGCGGTGGTGGATCCTCATTATCCGCTCTTGTCTCAACTCTCGTGCCCAGTTTTATCATTGCTGTCGCTCTGGTTGCCCTATTCTTGGTATTGCGTAACAAGCAGAGGCGGCTCTATGCTCCACGAACATATCATGATGCACTTCTAGAAGAGTATGGTTTTCAGATTTAGCTAAAGGCAGTGCTTGCTGACAATCCTATTCAGTGAGAAAACACCCCCGGCAGGCCAGGGTTTCCTAGGCTGGGTCAAGAAATTCACCAACTTGAGTGACGAATACGTCCTCAATCACCATTCTCTCGATGCATATCTCTACCTGCGTTTCCTAAAGGTACTCACCCTGATGGCCTTTGTAGGTGCCATTATTACTTGGCCTGTTCTCTTCCCAGTCAACGCCACTGGTGGAGGCGGCGAATCTGGTCTGGACATTCTCAGCTTCTCCAATGTCGAAAATGAAGTACACTACTTTGCCCACGCATTGATTGCTTGGGTCTTCTTCGGCTGGGTTTTATTCCTCATTGGCAGAGAAATGTTGTACCTGGTCAAACTCCGAAAAGCCTACTGCTTGACCACATGGAATGCGAGTCGCATCTCTCAGCGTACAGTCCTCTTTACCGATGTCCCGCAAGAGTCTCTGTCTCTCGAAGAACTTCATACCATGTTCCCCAGAGTCTCCCAAATCTGGCTCGTTCCTAATGTAATCGACCTAGATGATGATGTCTCAGACCTCGACAAGGCAGTCATCAAACTTGAAGCCGGCGAAACAAAGTTTATGCAAAAGGTTACCAAACAGCAACAAAAGAAGGGCATTGAGAAAGAAACACACGATGAGGCACTGCGCCCAACACACAAGACCAAGCTTTTGATTGGTAAAAAGGTGGACTCAATTGACTACTTTCGCAACCAGATCAAAGAGCTACTCCCTAAGATCCAGACAGCACAACGCTCCCATCTTGCTGGGAAGGAAAAGCTCGACAGCGCGGTATTCATCGAATTTGACACTATACTTGCGGCTGAGACCGCCTTCAACGCAAACCAACATCGCAGGCCCACCAAGTTTAGCTCTAGACAGATGGGTGTTCTGCCGGAGGAAGTCATCTGGAAGAATCTCAACATGGGCTCCAAAAGCAGATCTCTGCGCCACCTCATCGCCACGATCTTCATTTCAGCTATGATTCTCTTCTGGTCTATCCCCGTTGCTGTAGTTGGTTCCATCAGCAACATCAACTATCTTACAGAGAATGTGCCGTTTTTGTCATTTATCAACAAGATTCCCGAAGTCATCCTCGGTGTCGTGACTGGACTCTTGCCGGTCGTTGCCCTCGCTATTCTCATGGCTTTAGTCCCTGTCATCTGTCGCGGTATGCTATCAAGACCGATCTCCCTACACCTCTCCCAACTAACGTTTTGATAGTCGTCGCCAAGTTAGCCGGTGCAGTCACAATCTCCCAGGTCGAGCAACAAACACAGAAATGGTACTTTGCCTTTCAGGTTATCCAAGTTTTTCTCATTACAACATTCACTTCAGCTGCCGCGGCAGTGGCCAGTCAGATCGTCTCGGACCCCACAAGTGCCGTCAGTCTGCTATCCAAGAACTTACCAAAGGCCTCCAACTTTTACATCTCATATTTCATCCTCTTCGGTCTGGCCATATCGTCGAAATACCTCTTCAATATCGGGGGCTTGGTGGGTGTCTTTGTTCTAAGCAAATTTGCCAAAACACCGAGGAAGAAGTACAATCGTTATGTGGCATTGAGTGAACCATCCTGGGGTGCAGAGTACCCGAAATGGACAAACTTGGGTGTCATTGCCATCTGCTACGCCACGATTGCGCCGCTCGTCCTGGGCTTTGCAGCTGTCGGTATCGGAATGATTTACGTTGCATTCCGCTACAACATGATGTACGTCCACGACACCCACATCGACACCAAGGGAGGTTTCTATGCGCGCGCTTTGGAACAGCTTATGGTCGGAGTGTACCTTGGAGAACTCTGTCTGCTGGGTCTTTTTGGTATTGGCATTGGTGGTAGCATTACCTCTGTTGGGCCGACAGTACTTCAAATGGTCCTAATCGTTGCAACGGTTATCTTCCACGTCTTCATGAAGCGAAAGATCAAGCAGCTGAACCTGCTCGAAGACTTTGAGCATTCCGGGCAGCAGAGCAATGCCGAGGCCGGACATTTGTCTGCCACCAACCGCATGTCCCCTGGGTATAAGAAAGATGGGATTCGTTCTGATCAAGCTCTTGTTTCCCGCTACAATAACGAGCAGCGAGCTATTAAGGGCTCTGAAGCTGCTGGTATTGCACCTCCTGCCGACGCCCCACTACAGCGATCGTTGCTAAAGAGAATATTCTCTCCACATACGCTATCTGCTAGCGACATCTCTGCATCTCTCGCAACTCGATTTTGCCGCCCTGTCCCACCATACACGGAAAACGAAGTCCTTGAGGCCTACCTGCATCCAGCCTTAGCTGAACGCCAAGACGTCATATGGCTCCCCAGGGATCGTCCCGGCGTCAGCAAGCACGAGGTTGCTGAGCTACAGGAGAACCTTGGCACATTTGGAACTCGAGTCACGGATGAAGGCGCTATCATGAATGAGAAGGGCAAGGTAGAGTGGGATGTTGACAGTGTGCGGAAGGCGCCGCTCTGGAAGCATCGGGTCGTTTATTAAGTCTGTTATTTTCTTTATCACTATATGTCCGGAGTATTCCGACGAAAATACCATCCTAGTGTCTCGTATTGTATGTATGTTCTTCTTCGCGGAATTTTGTATTCTAAATACCAACCCCAATTTCCACAAAGAGGCTATGACACAACAAGGCAATATCCAGTACTAAGCGCACACGCGTACGACTAGCCCCGCACATCATCTAGCTGGAAACAACACGAAGCCTTGGTTGCGCGAAAAGGAGTTGAAATGGTGCATGTCATACATAGGTACTAGTTCCGGGACCTACTCCGTCGTTGTTCAGCGGCGCATGTTAGTGCCACAGCACCACGCCTCAGACTATGACGTCGCTTGACCATAAAAGTGGAAGCCACGCGATTTCCAACTTTCAGGAAGACAGGTAGGGTAGTTGGAGTTGGAATAAAAGGGCGTTGTGAGTCGGGGGGGAGCAAGACTTGAATTTGTATAACACTTTTCTTCTTGTGTCTTTAGCATAACAATCACGAAATCACAGCAAACGAATAACTACATTCCGATTCAAGTATCTTGAAAGAATTCGATATTACAAAGATGCCTCGCAACGGAGACGGATCCAGTGACAATGGACCTATTGAAGGCCATGAGATTCTTCATGGTACAACTGGAGATGTACGGTGCCTTCTCTAATACACACAAACACTTTCCGCTACATCGAATCATCAAGCAAAATCAAATAGGAGAGTATGCTTATAGCTAACCTAACTCCAGGACTCTCTCCAACACACCAAACACGTAGCACCCATGCCCGAGGGCGAAAAAGGAGACAGTACGTTCCCCACCCCATTCATCCATTACAATAACACAAAAGAACATACTCCAATGCACTTATGTATACTAAACTAACACCATAACTACAGCCCTGCCTGGTCTCTCAGGTGGCGGCACCGCAACCCAAACATCCACTTCCACCTCCCACTCGGACTCCAAAAAGCGCCAAGAACCTCACCACGCCTCCCCCTCCCCCACCTCGCACATCCAGCAAAAACACTCCAAACTAGACACAGACGAAGCCGGCATCGCGGGCGCGACATCGCACGCTGAGGCGGTGCACGCACGCGAGCAGCGGGCTAAAGATGCGGTGGGTTCGGAGGATGTAGGGAGTGGAGCTGGGGGGCATGCGGATGTGGAGATGTTGCATGGGAAGGCTACGTTGGATGAGCAGGAGCAGAAGAGTGAGAAGGGACAGGTTGGAGCGTGTGATGCGGAGTTGCTTCAGAGGAAGAAGGCTGAGAAGTTTGGGGGTGTGAATCTACAAGATGATGAAGAGGCTGATGGTGGGAAGAATGGGACAAGTGGTGTCAACGGGGGAAGTGGTAGGCACGCGGTAGACCGGGAGACTGAGACTGATGGGGGCCCAGTGGGACATGCCGATGGTACCAAGGGTAAGACTGAGGAGTCGTTTGGTACGCATAACAACGGTGAGACGCAGGGTAAGAGCAAGGAGCATGGTCACGATGTCGTCCATGAGGCGGATCTGTTGCAGAGGAAGAAAGCTGAGAAGTTCAGGGGCGTGAACCTAGGTGACGATGAGGCTGATGGGTCTTCTGTGGGGAAGAGCAAGGCTCATGGTAGCACTCATGGGGGAAGCAGTGCTGATAGTGGCGCTGTTGGACATGCGGATACCAAGGATCACAACGGAGACCATGCGGGTGCTGAGACGCACAGCAAGGGCAATGGACATACATCGGAGGGTAAGAAAAAGGACCACGGCCTTGATCTCGCCAGCGATGCGGACCTGTTGCAGAGGAAGAAGGCGGAGAAGTTCGGAGGCGTCAATCTCGGCGATGATTAGGCGTACTCCTTGTCTACTTTTCCTAAGGCACTTTGTTTATTCTACATAGCTGCCCGATATTATGTATGTGTCCCTAGTCAACCGAGTATCGTTTTTTCATATTAGTGATATATTCTGCTTTCTTTTTCTCGGGCGTATGAGATCACACGTGGATGTTGTCATAAAACAAAAAAAGAAGCGACAATCAAGGGTCTATCATGATTGTCTGTGCTATCGCCACCAGTTCACCGATCAAAGACAACGGAGATGCTGCAAAAGTGGTTTTCTGGAGAACAAGTCATACAGATCTCACATTACGAGAAGTTTTACGCAATATCTCTGGTCGTTATTGATTTTTTTCTTAATGGGATTCGGATCGGGGAAGAAGCCTGGTGTGGCCAGTAACGCCAAGTTCCCGACCCCGCAAACATTCCTAACATGTACTCTTCGTCTCCGGTAAGATGCCTCCGAACAACCTCAGCAGATGATTGTTTGTTTTTAATAATGAGTACCAGAGATGCTAGCGTTGCCACCACGGCATTCAGCAATCACCTCGGGAAACAATTGCGTCGAGTTTGCATCCACAACCAGGTACTGGCAAATCTCGGCGGATCCGTCCAGCACGGCATCAACCTGATCCTCAGTGCAGGAGCCGAGATCCCAAGTGTAGCAGAACGTTAGCCTTTCGGATGTATACGCCTCAAACTGCACATTTGGATCCGGACGTCCCGTGCTCATGTACGTGCTCTCGTCATCCGTGCCGGCAGTCGACTCGGTACCAGTAGCAATATCAAGGTTGAACAGGGCCCGCGTGAAGATCTTGAAAGCCGTCTCAGGCTGGTAAGCAGGGATGGCGTGACCGGCTTGGTAGGTGCGGATGTAACTCAAGTTTCCGTATTGGCGGACGAGACCGCCGACGTACGAGTCGTTCGTCTGGATCTCGGCGTACTGTGCAGACGCATACCCGGCAGACCCTGTCCAGTTGATTGCTTTGGCCACGGCATCGCCACCGCCCCACTAAGATGTCTTTTTGTTAGCAAGGAGATTGCATGAGTAGAGGTTGCGTTGGGCACACGATACTTACAGGGCAGGCGAAGTCGAGATCTCCATACACTAGTGATACCTTGATCCCATTGTCGAGAAGGAAGCCGAGATCCTCAACCCATCCGTCACGCGGGTAGTCGCCAATGGCACGGTAGGCTGTTGAAGCCTGCGGGGAGCTACCCGTCCAGTTGAGAGGCACACCGAGCTCCGCTTGAACCCACTCGCGGTTCAGATAGCCCTCGTGGAATGGCGGTGGAAAGGGCGGAGGTGATGGCGTGGAAATATCGTAATAGTCACGACCAGCGAAGTTGTTGTAGGGAGTGACGATATTGTTACGGCAAAAGGTTTCTGCGCCCTCGCAAATGCGATTGACACCAGCATCGATGCCCAGGTTTTCCGGATCAGACACAGCAGCGGCATCGCGGCAGTTTTGAATCATCTTTAGACACTCTGGGACAGCGGCTACCATACCATTGTAGATTGTCTCGTTGACGGCTTCAACCCCATACCCATTGCCTTTGTAAGCTTGCTGAGGGTAGTAGGGAAACTGGATGTAGCGGTCGATGCAGCCGGAAATAAGAAGCAGGGTATCCAAGTGCATAACGTAGCCTTCCTTGAGAGTGCCATTCTCAATCTTCTGGTTTTGTTCCTCCCAGAAAGACATCATAGCGGGTCCATAGCGTCCGCCGTACGACTGAGCAGCAAGACTAATGCGAGTGTCATTGGGCACAATGTGAGGAAACTCTTGGAACCAAGCCTGGGCAAACTCCCACGCTGCCACAGCGCCATTAACACTACCGAAAAAGGTAGTGTTGGGGTTACGGCTAGGATAGGTGCCTGTAAGAAAAGTAGTGTTTTGTTCAGGGAGAGGCGTGGTGTCATTCAACACCGTGACCTGTCCAGTGGCAAGGTTCCTAGTGACATTTGTCAAAGTATCGTATGAACTAGAACCAATCGTCAATTAACGTGCCATGACCCTCTTAGATTTAAGAGAACTCACAAGCCAACCTGCACCGGTTGATCGAGATAGAGCATGTTCGATGCTCTGTTCCAGCTCCATTCAGCTGGTCTCGTTGAGTTCGAGTCTGGGTTTGCGTAGCACGGCCCATTTTCCTCGAGCAATCCATACATGGAAGACGAACCTGGTCCACCGTTCAACCAGATTGTAAGTGGTGCATTGGCCGGATCGTCACGGGCTTCAAAAAACCAAAAGAACTAGAGCAAAGACTTAGGACCTCAACAAATGAGCCATAGCGACATGCTGCTTACGGTGTTGATAGGATAATCCTGTCCCTGACCCAAGTCAGCGGTTCCGGGGGGTAGGTAGACATAACCGGAATATGATTTGACGTCTGGTGTAGTCTCACAAAGCTTGTTCTATACATTGCTATTAGATAATCTGGCTGTAATACAAAACGACCTTTTCCAATGGCTTCCAACCTCTTTGTAAGTAATCTTCACACCATCTCCGAAGCGCGACTCGAGCACCTTGAGGCCCGCAGGCTCAGATGGGACTTGAGCGAGAGAAGGCGCGGCCAATGCCAACAGCGCAATGGCTGTGGAGCGAGCGGATGGAAACATATCGCAACGAATGTTCCTACAGGATAAAGTACTGAGCATGGGCAGTGTAGTATTTATTTACTACGTAGTACGTGGGGGCATGCTGGCCGCCAATTCTTCCAAGCATGGATTAACCGTTGCCAGTCCCATCCTTGCCGTCATAAGCAGGCAATATCATCGACGGCATACTTGGCTGCATCTCGGAGCACAATCAATTTGGTGGAATGCTCAAGTTGAGCCGGCTGTATCCGGAAGGTCGAAGAAGAAGTCGCCAAGTACCAAGTCTTGCTGGAGCGGGGTGGCCTTCTTACACGCGTTAGCGCGGACCTTGCATTGCCAGCTTCCACAAGCGATAGCAACTATGCGATGAGTGGATTACACAGTACGTGCTACTGGCTCAGGTCTGGTCAGGACACGGAAGAATGGAGATAACACCTCGGTGCCTGAGACTAGAGAATCGCCCTCGCCCAAGGTGTACGTGTGAGGTAGCACTAGCGATGAACGGCCTGTGGAGCGTGCAGGCGGACTAAAGCCGGTTTGACACCAACACCACTGCCCTCAGCGCCTAGTGAGTTTGATCCAACATCATCCAACCATAAGAACCCTTTTGGAGGCTACACCACGGCGATTTACTTTGCAGCCTGTTCGTCCATATGCTGTATATGAGATGGGAGCACTACCGAGTCGATGTCCGAATAAATCGCTCGCAATTTCGACCGAAGATGAAATGCTCCAAAGCACTTTTTGTGGAGAATGAGACCGCCTTGGTGTTTGAATGTGTCGGCTGTAGCTTTGGCCGGATCGCAATTGGTTCGCTTTACATGGGCTGCCATCTCTACGTAGTCGTGCGATTCAAACGTAAGAATCTCAGCAGCATTTGCATGATCATACAGTTGCTGAATACTCAAAGAAGTCCCGGAAGCCGCGCGTCGTACTGGGTAGAGATTGCTTTCTAGGAGGAAGGAGATGAATGAACCCAAAACCATGGCGCGACACTTTTGCTCACATGATTCATCCACTTGACACACATAGACGTGTGTGATGTCGTCCAAGATATCGTAGAGAACATCAAGCATGGCTGTAAGAGTGGCTTCTCGGATTTCCATTATCCGTTCTTTCAGAGTGTCAGTAAAGTGTGAAGGCGTTTGAATAGACGACAAGGCGGCTTACCAAGTAGTGCTGGTGGCATATGAAGCGGAAATGCCTGGCCACTATCCATCATTGCATTCCCACGTTGATCTAAGCCAGTCCTTTTGACTACAAACTTGGCAAGGTTTTGGAAGCTGTCCTTGTAGCCAAAGGTCCACGCCACAAGGAACCAGGCCGGATGACATCGTTCCCCTGAAGTGGTATCAGGGTAGTGGCACTGAGCCCAGCCATAGAGATCCAAGAACGGTCGAACTAGCTTGACAAGGTCGTATCTGTCGCACACGACTGAAAGTTGGAGAAGGGCATCGATGGTGAGTCCATTCTTCTTGGGCAATTCGTGGAAGCGGAGATGAGCTATTCGGAGGGCAATGTGCATTGCATCTAGCTCATCATCGGGTAATGAGATAGCGGCCGTTCCATTCTCACTCCAGTGCCGCTCGAATATCTTCTTCCACACCGGACTGGCCAGAATCATGGCCGTCCTAGATACCTGGACGGGCTGGTGGCCCGACGAATCGGTGCCCAAGACCAAGATGGAGTCACCACTGTCATCAAAAACAATAGTAGGCTGTAATTCAGAGGCATCAATGTGCCGAACCTCCGAAGGCGCAACTTCGTCATCAGAAGTTTCGTGGGCGCTGCCAAGTGGTGGTGGTGATGATGCGCTCTCAGGGGCAGGGCGGCCCCGAAGAAGAAAGCTGGAGCCCCAGAGCATTCAGCCAGCCTCAGTTGCCTGTCGTAGGGGAAGATGGCAGCAGGGTCAGAGTCTCCCGGAGCGCGTACCGTGACGTACTCGCTTGTACGGCTCGGGATGCAGTGTTATTGTTGCACGTTGTTGCACATGTTTTCATTGAGTGAACGCGCAGGGATACCCGGCCCGTGCTTCAGAGCCAGTGTGTTGATTCAGCCGCGCGTCAAAAAGAACAGGCCAACAACATACTTATTTTCATCCGCGCTCCCTTTCGCCGCCGCTGAGGTCTCTACGCAGTGCCACCTTGAACAGGGGCGACGAAGATCCCAAGGGCTTGCATATACACAACCATTTGCCTGGGGCGACGTACATACAGGACTTACAGCTTTGCCGAGTCTTAGCCGAGCCCACGTAGGACGTCTTGCCACAGCAACCCTCAACCACCAGATGCAAGCGGACGGGAGCAGAACCGACACGGAGAGTACGATAAATGTACTACGTAAGTACTCCAGCGAGCCTCCGCAGCAATCTCCCAATGGAGACTACGCGCTTGGGCCATGGAGCCGTCAGCCTCGTAGTGTGTAACATCAGCCCTATCCTTGGTGCGAAATGAGGTAATGACTCCTCGCACTATCCACTACAGACAAGGCCAATATAATGTCATCGAGCGAATCATGACAACACTCTCCTTCTGCTGTTGTTCACTGGCCACCGCTCAGCCAGCCTCGTTACGGTGTCCTCCACCGTCACGAAACACTGCTCTCACAAGAAGCCAATGTGTAGATCGTATTTCAGCTCAAGTTGCGGCACATGGCGGTTATGCGGGTTACGTACTTATTTTCTGCAGTCCCATGCATCAAGCGCAAGTTTGTCGTGCAGTGTCGAGAGTCGACGTCGAGAGTGGTCCTTGCAATATGAAACTGTTCAGGTGACCCCTCTTCCCCCATAATGTTGATTATTGTCAGCCGTCTTATTAGGCCGCCTACAGGAGAGGCTCGAGCTACCTAACCTGTTCAGAGCTAGGGACGCAACATGTACAGTCAGGCGGGATTGCACAAACCAAACATTTGAACCATCTTCAAGTATCCCACCATCTCGTAGGGCAGCTGTACTACCCTACAGAACGCATGCATTACATACGCGTACTGTAACGTTATATTGTGTATTGCTTTAGGCAAGCTCAGCATGCCCCAAAGGGATCCACTGTGGCAATCCACTTCTTCGGTCAGATTTCCCCCGACTCTTCACTGCCTTGCATAGCATATGCTACCAGATCTGGAGTCAGGTGCAGGCAAATTGGTCGAGACTTGGTCACATCCTGTGAAAGCTCCATGATCACATTACCAAGATCTAACATGGGTAAAGCCGAACGTTATCTGCAGCACACGCCTGAACAACGAAAGCTGAGTGGATAATGCATTACCTTCCTTGATTGCATATGTCCATCAAAGGCAATACTAGTACCACTGGAAGCTTCGATGATCAGTGCCCAGGTGGTACAGACAGACCAGCATGCACAGGTCGTTTCTGTGAACTAGACGTCGATCAGCACATGGTGTTACAAGGATGTTATTGATCGGAATCTAGCGATTGTTCGCTTGTACCGCAAGCGTAGTCCGTTGCACAACGCTGGCAAGAGCAAAAGGACAGAGTTATAGTACAGCGTTTCAGATAACGACGCAGACTTGGTTACATTGTCAGGCGGATGGACCGGGACGAGTCAGTAGCTTGGGCTTCATCAGCAAAGTCTTAGCACGTGCGCGATGATCTCCAGCAACGTTTAGGATGTTGGAAGCGAAACTTTATCATGGCATCATCGAATCACGGCGAGTTTCAGCCTTCGGAGATTCGGCAGTCATACTATGTTCATACTGCATATACAAAGTTCTTCTGAACGCCACTGTCTTCCAGCCCCCGCCCGACGAATGAGACCGGCAGAAGCCGGACTGTACATGGGAGATTCGGTTCAGCTAACACATTACGAGCCGGCCGGCATTGTGTGCATGCTCTGACCGTAAAACTGCTACCCCGGAGTGATCAGAGCTTTTGGGCAAAGCGCATCCTAACGCCCGATATAGTGTTCATGAGCGTCCTGTTACGGGCAGTGGATAATTGGCCCAAGGATGTAGTTTGGCCACAACGTTCGTTAGCCAACCGAGCTGATCAGGGCCGCACGCCGCCAAGTCAGTATTGAGACGAATTGTCGGACAGATTCTACGCCACAGGAAGCTTCCATCGATGTGACCATAGCTTGCCGCGTCTGAAAGGGTTTGCTCGATTGCATTGGCTGTTACTCATGATCCCGGAAACGGCTAATCCCCTCCTCCGCTATCCTTTTTTCATCGCATGCAAAATGCAACCCTAGGGTACCTGACTGAAGACTCTTCCTACTCCAAAGTGTCTTATCATGTGGTACAGGAATCCGGAGTACCGTATCAGACGTCACAAACGCTCACCCCGGAAATAGCACGTCACACAAGACGAGATGCAAGGACGTTGAACTAAACGTAAAAGAGTCGAGCGCGGAAGTCCAGGCTATCAGGTTCTCGGCACCAGCCAATGTCTTCGGCTGCCGACTCGCTATTCAAGCCCCCACCAATCGTCGAATGCCTTTCTGGACCTCATTGTCTCGGCATTGGGAGGAAGATCCAAGTTTCACATAGGGTGTGTCCAGACTGTCTCCAACGACACGATCCGCAACAGCTACGCGTGTGGGCCAACAACAACTCTATTGCTATTCTATCCATCAACGAAGAAACTGCGCGTAAACAGGTGTTAAAGAGAAACATCGAAGCGCGTGGTCGTTACCTGTGCGCCTTTGAAGATCCCGATTACCAGCATTGTCGGTGGCGACTGCTTGACTTGAGCCTCCGCGGCACCCGTCTCGACTGCCCTTCTGTTCGCAGAAAAGGTACTGCTTGTTCAAAGTGCTGGAGGAGACGACTACGGAAGATTAGGGTTTTACAGTACTTTACGCCAACTGGGCTCTGCCATGAGGTAGTTGACAGAGTCGTCACGAGGTCGGCAAGCTCAGAGGAGGGCAGTGAGGAATCCGACGACGATGTGGAGGGCTACAACACAATCCTAAGTTCAAACCCGACATAACTTGGATTAAAACTTCAAGGTAAGTAATCTTCCTCTTGATACTATTCCTACTAACACTGTAAGATTCATCGCTGTACGATTTGCTTGTCATGCGAGCTCCGCCTCCAAGGACCCACTGCCTACTCGGCGCTGCTTGTGACTCCTGTCCAGAAGGACAAGAACAAGGTCCAGAGATATGCTCCTGGTGTAAAAACATGAGCTTTGAGGAGCTATACAAGCGGTCAGCAACGCTACCGGACACGGAATCAGTGAACCTTGTCATCGACACATACAAACGCCAACTCGAACTGGAAACCGCGGAGCGCATCAGAAAAGGCTGGTCATTCCTGTGTGCCTGTAAAGATCCAGAGTACCGCTCTCAGTCGTGGCGCCGCAATTTCAATCCAAAAGATTCGCGTCTGTGCGGTACGGTGCGCCATCGCGGACAACTATGCGTGCGGTGCTACCGTAAAGCAAGGGAGCAAAACTGCACCTGGCTTGAAGAATTTGACGGTGATCGTCTAGGCTTTCCCTGCGCATTCGACGACACGAGGTTGCGGCGGCGCATCGATGCCAACTGGAAGATTGGCCCGCTAGATAAACACGGACAGCCCGATCCAAGCTGGGAACGAGACCCCAGGAGAGATGGTCGCTGTGAGAGAACTAGGTTGCGCAACCAGCTTTGCCAGAAATGCTTCAATCGCATGTGCGAGATTCGAGGGTTTGGCCGGTTTTTTGACTCCGAGTGGGGGACGCTGCATAGGCGGTACGGAGTGCGGTAGAGGCTTCTTTGCCGGCAATGCGATATCGCTACCTGGGCCCTAACGGGTGTATGATACTACTGTTAAGAAGTAGTTGTACGTTTCTTCCCCTTGGGCTAGTACGTAGCAGCACATTAGAAGCGCTGCTCGACTAGGACGGGAAACCTGTGTTTTACTACTATATTCCGGTTAGCATTTGGGGTGGCGTATTTGTGTTGGGTTTTTGTATAGTTTAGCGTATACTAGATTGTGGACTCCAAAGTCAAAAGTATGGGTAGGTTACAGATCGAAATTATACCTGAGGAAATGGTTTGGTGTGAAGAGTTTGGATTGAATTGAAGGGCTTTCAACACAACCTCGAATCATGCTCTGGAGCAATGTCTTATTGGGAAGGTACAGACGCCAAGTATTGTGTGTTGCTGGACAAAGTTCTACAATAGTTGTATGGTTTGGACTACAGGGGAAAATACAAATAGTCACAGAAAATATACCTTCCATACCGGTACCTCTCAGAAGCACATCGGAATTCTCTCCAAGTATGCACTGAGATCCATACTAGCGGCCGAAATAAAAGTAGTTCAAGAGGCAAAACAGACACCGCTGCTGCAAAGCTGTCGAGCCTAGAATGAGTGGTTGAACTGTATGCTATATTGAACTGGCGAACCGCGTAGGATTTTCGAGTTGTTCCAACATAAAATCTTGTGAAGGATCAAAGGTTGATCCTTTTCATATGACGCAATTGATGTGCTTTACGTAGATACTTTTCGTTCTCAGCACGATGTATGTGAGGACAAATAGCATAAGCGATAGCTTGTATTGATCAAATGTCCATCAGTAGTTTACAGCGTATATTAGCAGTCTTGATACCGAGTATGTAGATGCAAGCCGAAATATTTTCAGGTTTTGAACTTTGTCCTCCACTCATTTTTAATGACCTGAAAACTTATTCCAAGCCCCCAAGATCATTTGTAACGTATTCAGTGCAATGTGCCGCTGTACAAACTCAAGCACTCGTACTCCCGCTTATATCTATGAAGTAGGCGAGAAAGAGAGGCTTCTGGATTCCTTACTTGAACACATCTGAGTCATGGTTGCGCTTGTGCAGTGTCTTCATCAGAATCTGTGGTTATGATTAATAGCAGCCATCAAGTGACCGACACCAGATTTAGACGAAGGCTTTTTGATCACACAAGCAGTCAAACACAAAAAGTGGAGGTGAAGCCGATAATTTAGTCAACGACGTTCTGCTTTCAGCAAGATGAAGCAAGAATACGCGTTAGGCCCGACTGAGAGCTGCTTGTTAGCTAAACATGTCCGAAAATGAAGCTACAAAGTGTGATATCCTTGACGATATTAGCCCATTACTCAACTGGTATCTAGGGATGGTTTCAATAATATGCAAGGTGTCCTCGCAAAGGAAAAAAGAGGGCCGAAACAAGATGCGCCGAGGGAGAACATGAATCAATTTGAGAGAGTTTCAGACATACGATGTGTAATGGCATGGTACATTATTCCAACCATGGCCGAATCGACACATACTTAGTACACAGAGCAAAGATACCAAGCGGATGCGTATTACCGCGTTGAAGATGTTGCATCGTCGACCCGCATCATCGCCACATGACGTTGACGCGGAAAAATCGGATAGCGAGGCTGGACTGGCCTTCTAGAAGCAATGGTGTTCCTGCACCCCTCAGCCACGTCATCCAATCAACGGTGCCGGGCGTAAAGACCCCTCCGACATGCCGCTTTCGGCCTCAATAAATTGTGAACACAAAGACTCATACGTCTCCATACTGCTCCTCGAGTCATCCGCCGCCTTCCGTACTGTGTGACTCACGGTTACATTGTTAAAAAGGACGCCGTATCCAAATTTGCTTCATTATCACACCTTCATCGTCGGTACTTAGCATCATGGACGGAATCAAGAAGACGTTTGCGCAATGCAAGAAGGAGGGCAGGGTACGTTTTGGTGTTGATTTGGAGAGAAATTGATTGTTGACAATGTCCAGTCTGCCCTCGTCACGTATGTGACTGCAGGCTTCCCTACTGCTGAAGAGACACCCGACATCATGTTGGCCATGGAGGCGGGCGGCTCAGGTATGCACCATAAGCAATCACTCTCGTAACATGACAGGACAAGCCATTAATGCTTCCAGATATCATTGAGCTCGGCATGCCTTTCACCGATCCCATTGCAGATGGTCCGGTCATTCAGACAGCGAACACTGTACGTTGACTCAATTCGCCACTCCCCGCATCAACCCCACCTGACACTGTGTGTCTATAGCAAGCTCTCAAGAATGGCGTCACGATTTCACATGTCCTCCAAATGGTTCGCGATGCGAGAAAGCGGGGTCTCAAGGCACCCGTCCTGCTCATGGGATACTACAACCCTCTGCTGAGCTATGGCGAGGAGAAGATGTTGCAGGATGCAAAGGAAGCTGGCGTCAATGGCTTCATTATGGTAGATCTCCCGCCTGAGGAGGCTCTGCGCTTCAGGAACTTCTGCCGCAGCTATGGGTGAGTTTAGCAGTTCATTGCACGGAAGACGGAACTGATTGTGACGGGCAGTCTCTCCTACGTCCCTCTGATTGCACCAGCCACCTCGGAACACCGTATGCGCGTACTCTGCAAGATTGCCGATTCCTTTATCTACGTCGTCTCTCGCATGGGCGTCACTGGCGCTACTGGAACCATGAATGCTGCCCTTCCCCAACTTCTCGAGCGTGTGCACAAGTATTCTGGAAACGTGCCGGCGGCTGTTGGTTTTGGTGTTAGCACGCGCGACCACTTTTTGAGCGTGGGCAAGATTGCTGAAGGTGTCGTCATTGGTAGTCAAATTATCAACACTCTGCTCAAGGCTGCACCTGGCACTGGCGCAAAGGCGGTTCAAGAGTACTGCGACGGCATCTGTGGAAAGAGCAGCCGGGAGACGACACGCGAGGTTGGCATCATTGAGACTTTGAACGATGCCAAGGAACCAACTGGTGTTCACGTAGACAAGGTCATTACTGATGCTGATACACCCGATGGACCCGGCCTTGCCGACCAGCTGGACATGCTCAACACCGAGGACGCAAATGGAGATGATGATTTCAAAGAGAAGCACAAGTTCCCCGCACGGTTTGGTGAGTTTGGAGGACAGTATGTGCCTGAATCGCTCATGGACTGTCTTCGGGAGCTTGAAGAAGGCTTTAATTCAGCGATTGACGACCCCAAGTTCTGGGAGGAATACCGCTCATACTACGAATGGATGGGCAGGCCAGGACATTTGCATCTTGCTGAACGCCTCACTGAGCATGCTGGGGGAGCGAACATCTGGCTGAAGCGAGAGGACCTCAATCACACAGGAAGTCACAAGATCAACAATGCACTCGGCCAGGTATTGGTTGCGAGGAGATTGGGAAAGACTGAGATTATTGCAGAAACAGGAGCTGGCCAGCACGGTGTTGCAACGGCGACTGTGTGTGCCAAGTTCAACATGAAGTGTACCATTTACATGGGCGCTGAGGATGTCAGGCGCCAGGCTCTCAATGTGTTCCGCATCAAGCTGCTTGGTGCGCAAGTTGTGGCCATTGAGGCTGGATCTCAAACTCTCCGTGATGCAGTCAATGAGGCCATGCGTGCCTGGGTTGTTAATCTCGACACGACGCACTACGTTGTGGGATCTGCGATCGGACCTCACCCGTTCCCGACAATTGTGCGTACTTTCCAGTCGATTATTGGAAACGAGACCAAGGAGCAGATGCAGGCGAAACGCGGCAAGCTTCCCGACGCTGTAGTTGCGTGCGTTGGTGGTGGAAGTAACGCGGCAGGCATGTTCTATCCATTCTCCAAGGACCTTTCGGTTAAGCTTCTGGGTGTCGAAGCTGGTGGAGATGGTGTTGAGACGGGACGGCACAGCGCGACGCTTTCTGCGGGAACAAAGGGCGTTCTTCACGGAGTGCGAACCTACGTTATCCAGAACAACGACGGACAGATCCTCGAGACACACTCTGTATCTGCTGGTCTCGATTATCCTGGAGTTGGGCCCGAGCTGGCCAGCTGGAAGGACAGTGACCGGGCAAAGTTCATTGCATGCAATGATGCTGAGGCTTTTATTGGTTTCAAGCTCCTGTCGCAGCTGGAGGGCATTATCCCCGCGCTAGAGACATCTCATGCTATCTACGGGGCGATTGAACTGGCGAAGACGATGAACAAGGACCAGGACATTGTCATTTGCGTGTCTGGACGCGGTGACAAGGACGTGCAGAGCGTTGCTGAAGAGCTGCCCAAGCTAGGACCCAAGATTGGCTGGGACCTCCGATGTAAGTTGAGCGTGAATGGTAGTATTGAGATGACGTGAGCTAACAGTGAATCTAGTCTAAGCGGTCAGATGAGTGCGAAGAAGGACTTGGGATGTGTAGTACATGGATGTAGCATGTAGATATGGATCAAGTAAAGACCAAGTTTGTTGTGTAGTTGTACTATGTATGCATGTGCATGTGGAGTGGGCACGTGAGAGGGCAAGTGTTATCTAATCAGCAGTAACGTGTTCTATCAGTAAGCTGGCCGTATCAGTAAGCTGGCCGCCCCACCAAAATTGACGCGACGTTTTACGCAATTGAGCCACAACAACGTAATATTTTTGGAGATAATTAAGAGATATAATTCATGATCTAGTCCTGCATGACGTCCGAGTATGTCCTACAGTGTGGCATTTCGTGCACGTTGGCGGCGCGCGCTGGCGTCGCTCACCAGTCTGGTTCTGGTCACTGCCCATGACCAACCTTTCTGCCTCTGCAGTAAGCTGCTGAGCCTGCTGCACCTGAAGCACCCCGCCAGAGGCGATATATTGACGGCGCCGGTCTTGCTTTTGTTGTTGGCGCTTATTGACTGTACGTAGCTTCTTATTCTCCTCTGCGAGTATTGTTGCTGATTGCATTGCAAGCTGAGCGCTCTTAGCAAGCTGGCGTATAGCAATGCTTGTTGGACTCTCTGACTGCCGGTGTAGTCGCTCT